AGAGAGAGAGAGAGAGAGAGAGAGAGAGAGATGAGGGACATCAGATCGGGGAACTTCGGGGTGGCGAGGCTGATGAGGAACAAGGAGACCAATGAGCTCGTCACCATGAAGTACATCGAGAGGGGCCGCAAAGTCTGGATCCTGTCGGGTCGATCTCGGATAGAGAGATCTGAGAGGAGAGGTAGAGGAGAGAGGGAGAGTAGGGCGTCGGAGGGAGCGCAGCGGAAATTTTCGGGGTTAGGTTTTTTTTCTGTGGGCGGGACCAATGAAATTTGGGGGTGAGGAGACGAATGAAATTTTGGGGGCGGCCTGTTGCGATTTTCAGTCTCCCGCTTAAGTTTTCAACCCGTCAGAACAAAAAAAATTGCCTACTATTTCTTATAGCGTTTAAATTTTTTTAAACGCTATCAAAAAATAAGGTATATACGATCTATAGCACTTGCAATATAAACGCTATCATTCAACGCTATAAAAAAATAGTTTTGTTGTAGTGAGAGTCCCTACTCTGAGAGGCTTGCTGATAACTCAATGGTTCGTCATCATCTATGACGTGATCTAACATGCTACCTTCAATTAGAAAATCATATTGTCTCTTAGGTGCATGAGATCGCCTTGGATATCCGCGGAGTGGTTGAGGTTCTTCTGGTACAACTGAATTTTTTGTTTCTACTAAATTATCAGTATTGATTTGTATCTCTGAAATTTCTTCCAGTTCTCCCATGCTCCCATTAATTTCTTTTTCAACAAATGCCTTCTCCAAGAAGATAGCATACCAAGAAATAATTATCTTTTGTTCATCGATGTGGTAGAATTGATATCCATGGGAATTCCTTGGATATCCTACAAATTTACACAATACTGAGCGTGCCTCTAACTTTTTGGGATCTTGCTTTTTTACATAAGCATGATATCCCCAAATCTTAATATAATTAAGATGTGATTTCATCCCATACCATATCTCATATATATGTGTGTGCACTACTTTAGTTGGAACCCTATTCAGTAAGTGTGTTGCTGTTTCTAATGCATACCCCCAGAATGAAAAAGGTAACTCAGTGTTACTCATCATGGAACGTACCATATCTAATAGGGTACGATTCCTCCTTTCTGACACGCCGTTAAGCTGTGGTGTAAAGGGTGGAGTAACCTGAGAGAGAATCCCATTCTCTTTTAAAATACCTAAGAATTCCGAGCTCAAGTATTCACCTCCTCGATCCGATCGAAGAATTTTAACTTTCTTGCCCGTTTGGTTCTCTACTTCATTTTTGTACTCGATAAATTTCTCAAGTGCTTCAGATTTGTGTTTCATCAAAAACACATGTCCAAACCTTGAAAAATCATCAGTAAAAGTAATAAAGTAGGAGTAGCCACCTCTGGCCATTGTAGACATAGGACCACATACATCACTATGTATCAGTCCTAAGAGTTCTGTAACTCTTACTCCAGTTCCTGTAAATGGAGTCTTGGTCATTTTACCTTTAAGACAAGACTTGCAAGTCTCATAAGACTCAAAGTCAAATGGATCTAAATATCCATGCTTATGAAGCTCGCCAAGTCTTTCTTTATTAATGTGACCAAGTCTGCAATGCCATAAGAAAGCGTCATTCATAACTGAGTGCTTTCTTTTATTAGTGTGATAAGTGTTCAGAATTGTATTTTGATTAAGAATATAGATGCCATTGCACAATGTTCCATAAGCAATCAACTTTTGATTAAATATGATATTCATAACATTGTTCTCCAACTTAAATACATATCCATCTTTATCTAATAAAGATATGGATATTATATTACACATCATAGTTGGTACAAAATAGCAGCTATTTAAAATCAAAACGTTTCCATTTGGTAAAGCTAGATGAAAATCCCCTACTGCAAGTGCTGCAACTATTGCACCATTACCAACTTGCATAGTCATCTCTCCAGCTCCAAGTTTTCTATAACTTTTAAGTCCCTGTAACAAATTACAGATGTGAGATCCTGATCCGGTATCTAATACCCAGGATGTATGATTTATAGAAAAACAATTCTGAGTAACAAACACACCTGTAGATGAAGCAACAACTTGCTTATTCTTGGTGAGTGAGGCTAGGTATTCTGGGCAGTTCCTTTTCCAATGTCCTGACTTATGACAATGGAAGCATTCTGCTGTCATCATTTTTGCCTTTCCTTTATCCTTCTTGACAGCCTTCTTAACACCTTTCCTTGGTTTAGTAGTTTTCTTCATTCCTTTTTTCTTAGCAACCAATTTGCCAGAAGAGGAAGAAGATTGCCCTATAGCCAAGACTGGTGTTTGTCCCTTTTTCAAAGAACTTTCTTCCTGTCTTAACAAATTAAGCAAGGCAGGAAGAGTGGGCTCCAGATCCATCATCAAAAACTGTGATATGAATCGGGAGTATGCTGGTGTCAAGGACTGCAGAATGATATCTGTATATCTATCTGCATCTAGGCCTACGTTCAAAAGTTCAAGCTCATTGACATAGGCGATCATTTTGAGGACATGATCCCCAACAGAAGATCCCACTTGGATTGATTTTGGAATGTTTGGTTTTTTATCTATTTTATTTATTTATTTTCCCTTCATTTAGAATCTGATTCCACTCTCATTATCCCAGAGTCCTCTTGCTCTTATGGTTCAATGTTCTTTCATTCTATCTACTGCCAATTTGAGAAAATTTTACTTTTTTTTCCGTGCATGTGAGCACTTGTAGTACCTAAAGTAGCTGTATGGTTATTTTCTCCTTCATGTTGACATCATTAATGTATTTGCAATCAAGTAATTTCATGGACTATATCATTCGGATGTCCTTTTCTTTTTTCTGTTTTTTTTTCTTTTCATTTGGAAATTTTAGCCTCATATAGCTTAATGTCTAGTATTAAGAGTATTGTTGATTGTCTGCATAATAGATGCTAATTTCTGTTCTTTTTCAATCTATGTTGCAGAGGCGATATGGCAAATGAATTTGAGGGAACTGGAGTCCGAACTATATCTTGAGCATCCAGGGGGATCTGGTAATTTTGCATACTTTCTTGACTTGACGGGCTACGGTCCCTTGAATTGAGTTCAACGTTGTTAATTTCTTCTCGCAATCATTTGTTGTTCCTGCTGTGGGCTGGTGTTTATTAATTTGATGTGTTATGATTGTTTCTGTGCTTTCTTCGGAGAACTTTTACTCATAGATCTTATGATTGGTCACGATTGGCATTTTTAAAGCATTGTGTATTGAAAGTCGGCATTCAATCTGATTTGGGATTTTAATCACGTATCTTCAACAAAATTCATGTGCAACCAAATAAAGTCTAGTTGTATTTTATCTCTCATGCAAATCCTCTTTCCTATTCATTGTAAACAAATAATGTTTTGAATGTGTACCTTTCAAAATCCCTAGGGGTGCAATCAAGATGCAAGCAACAGACCAAACAACCCCTTAGAGTATATAGTTTCTTATTTTGGTAGCATTTTTTGGTAAGGATATATTGTTCTTCTAGAGGATGCGCCTTTGGTTTATATAAGATTTTAGGGCTCTTAACTTACTTGCAATGGATGTTCAGTTTCTAGCCATGTCTAGGACATGCAGAGTACTATTAGTTTTTCAATCATGATGTTGCTACTCACTGAATTATTTATAACCTTATCCTTTATCCTAATTGTTGCATTTAATAGCCTACGTTGTGCACCGACAGACCATCTCACTTGATTCTCCCTCATTTTACCCTCAATAGGAGCAAACTCCAACTTTCTATGAATGCATATTCTGAGAGCGACATTGAGAAGGAGCTCTACATAAGATCGGAACGCGATTGAAAAACCTCATCGCAAAACAACCAGACATGAGAGATACCCATGGCACCCAAATAGGACATAAATGGATGTTCTTATAAATTACAAATGTCAACAAGCGGCTTGACCAAAAGCAAAAGGTGAGAGTGGAGTATCATCATGAAAAACTAGCCAAGAGAGAAAGCCAGAGCAACCAGATAACAGACTTCTTCAAACAATATTGACATCAAGAAATAGCTCGATTGGATATTAGTAGATAAGAGCATAATTTTGTTATGGAAAATCATAGAACACTAATTCGAGGTATGAAGGAAGACAACAAGATATAAGACAAGACGCCACAAACAAAGTCAACATGGAAGTTATGATAACATTTCCATGTGACATTGACGTATAAAAGTAGCTCGACATAAATTAGAAGACAAGACAAGGATCTCGTAATGGAGAACCAATAAATACTGACATAAAAGTAGCTCGACATAAATTAGAAGACAAGACAAGGATCTCGTAATGGAGAACCAATAAATACTGACGTTGAGGTGTGAACGACGACAAATGTTAAAGAGAGGAGACCATCAATAATGTCAATGACAAACACATTATAGGTGTAGTCAGAAGAGAAGACTGATAAAACTGCTGAAGATGATGCAGAGAAAAAATTCATTGATTAATGGGATTTGTCCTTGACGCAACCACCAAGGGGTAAAATGTGCAAGCCCTTGGAGGTTTCCAGGTTTAGAAAGAAAGAAGAGGGTTTCTAACTTAAAAGCCTGCTCTAATAACATATCTAATTTGAAGCAATAGCCTGAAGAAGAAAACGTTAGAGCATACATTCCAGGCTAATTCACGGAGAAATATTACAAGCCTATCATATTTTCACATACCTAATAATTGCTAGTGATCATTCCAATTATATCCTCTTTGCACATATAATTTGTTTAAGGCAACTAATAATACTTTCAATTGTTCCTTGATTCCTTTCTTGATAAAGTCCATGTTTATACTTATTCCACATTGGCATGTTCTCTCTCAACAGTTTCTTTGAGAACTAATTTTTCTTCTTCTGTTTGTTCTTAGAGCACTAACACACCTATGGAATGGGATGTTTGCAATTGTGGTAGAAGGTGTGTGTTAATGGTTGGAGAGTATAAAAAAATCATCGAAATAAAATCATGTAAATATATAATGACAAAGATTTTTGGTTGACAAAAAGGGTTACTATTTTAGTTATGACAACTACACGTTTAAAAAGTCGCCATCCAAAATATCCTAAAGCTTTGCCACTTTTTCAAAGACATATCTTAAAAAAATTGGTAGATTAATATGTCAAGCTTCATTAGAATTGAATATCAATGTTTTCCTGCTAATTTCCCATTGAAACAATTTCTTAAAACATCGTCACAAACATGTTGGTGGTGTTGGGATATTAATTAAGAATTTCTTAATGGGATATTAATTAAGAATTTCTTAAAACATCATCGAGAGTTCCTTATAGATCAAGATTTTTCTTCTACTTTTCAATACAATTTTCAATAACTAACTAATTTAACTATATCCATATTCAAAAAATCGAGTTAATTTAAATCTATAAATATAGGAAGAATCAACAGATTTCAGTACTTAAAGTCAAATACCATTAAAAGAAAAAAAATCAAAATTTGGGGGTAATAGTAGAAACAAGGGAGGCGTTGAGATGGTAAGAAAAGAGGAGAAAATTAGCGATTTATGGTAGAAGCTCTTGAGAGTTGCGACTAAAAGGAGTCAGTAGAAAGTATGTGAAAGGGTAAAATAGTTGTTATAACTTTGTTAAGTTTATCTTTCTCTGACAAAATTTGGTACATTTTTTGTTAAAAAAATACTTTAACAATATTCATTTTAAAGGTGGTAAAACATTAGGTTATTTAATTAATCCTATATATAAACTTTTGATGGATATCTAAGACATGTTACCATAATTTGATGGACGTAGAAGGCATGTTACCATAATATGGGATTCTCACCCCTTTCAGAATTAAGTAATAAGATTTCATGTGACTTATTCTAAATAGTCAATGTTCGTTAATGATAAAGATAAAATTAATCAATTAGAGCATGTCATCTACTTACACTTTTCATTGAGGCTATTGTAGCATGTATCAAAGCATATTAGATGGGGTAGCTTTTTGTTCAACAGGTCTTTGTTTGAAAGCATGAACTTGTCAAATACTCTTCTTTCTTATAACTGCAACCGAATGCTTATAGCTTGGGAATGGATTAACATAATTCACATTATATATTGGATTGCACATTTGTGAAGCTCGAGAATTTTCTCTAAATTCTTCTTTGATTTACCAAAAATAATTTTTACACAATAACTCCTTTTTTATATTTTTTGTTGATTCACAATGGGAAGCTTAGTCAAGCTGATCTAGGATAAATGCCAAATCCTTAAGAAGTAAAATATAAAGATCCGACAACATGCACGGAGGCAAACATTACATATATAATATTGGTTAGAGGATTTGAGTTTCTATCTCATCTAAGAGAATAAGCTATGAGGAGATAAATGTGGTGAGGTCACATCTTTTGATGTGACTCGGTTGGGCAACACCACTTGTATATCTCTTTGGTAGAGTCCAATCTCGTACAAGCATATGTGTCTCACAAGTACGGAAGATGTTAAAGTGGTGCTAAAATCACTCCCAACCTGTTTCAATTTGACATATGTCTTAAGGTTTTAAATATCGAATATAGGAGAATATCGAATGATCAAAGTTCACATTGGACTGCGAATATAGGGGAAATATCGAGGCTATGTGTTAAATATAGGTGTGTTGTATTGGATGATGTAAATATATAATGTAATGTTCTAAAATGTAATCTAAACATAATGAAATCTAAACATACAAAAATGTAAATAATCTGTATTTAGGATCACTAATCAACCTTTTAAAACAAATAAACATCTAACTCGATATGGCAACGTCTCGTTTGATTTTTGAGGCCAAATTTCACATGATATATTAGAAAATCATTTCACATGATATATTAGAAAATCATGATATGTCACTTGAAAATTGTGAAAATCAGTATATTGGTTTAAGACAAACCATATAAAAGGGCATATTAGCCAAAATATCGGCTAAAATATCAATCATATTGGGGATATATCACCCAAAATTGTCAAGAAGCTGTGAAGGATACTTAGACCAAATCATTTTGTGCCAAGCTTTGTAAAGGGATATATCGGGCCATGTCGAGGATATTTAAAACAATTCATATGTTGCATTTTATTTTTTGTCTAATGCATATGGAAAAATCTTTATGTTTTTTAATGCTAGTCAAATTTTGCATATGTTTCTTTTGTTGATACACTGTGTATACTATAGCATTTAGCTACTTATTATACTGAGAACATTTTTTATTTGCACTTTTCCCTATTCATCCCAAATTAACATTAACTCTCTATTATTAATACATTTTTATCCATATTTCATTTAATGCACTTACTTTAATATCATGTTAAAGAATAGTAATTTCAACAAAAAAATTAAGGAATTTAAGAATGAAATCAAGCAATTGATTAAGTAGTCTAATGATCCAATGATTAGACTTGAACTCGTCGATTTGACCCGATGGCTTGGATTATCTTAACGTCCCTAACCATTACATTAAAACTCTAAAGTTTGGGTAAGCATTAAAAGTTATATTTTTATATTCTAATATGTTCCTTCAAGCATTATTTTTTATTGGCCGAAACCTAGACTCGCGTAACATGTCAATTTTTTTTTAAATTCATATAAAACGTGGCTGGTGGAATTTGAACATGGATTGCTTTGATACCATCTTAGAGTCCCTCTAACATTTGCACCAAAACTCTAAACTTGTGGTGAGAATGGAGAGTTACAGTTTAATGTTCTAATAGATTGGCTTACCATTTCGGAAATGAGATTTGGATTGAGATACTCCAATTCTATGTTGATGGATTCAAATCTTCACATGGATTGAATGAGACTACAATTTACTTTAGACTACTTCAAGAATATAATAAAAATTTATCTTCTGGTTTAATTGTCTAAATCCACTTTAAATAATTTTACCATTTATCAAATACAAATTTTGTTCTTGGCCATTGAAGTAAATCTCTAAAAATTTTCTCCTACTCTTGCTCATATAGGATATACTTCCTTAACATTTTAGTTTATAAAGAAAGATTAGACACACGTGCCAAAAAATTCTTATTACACTTATCTTATCCTTATCTTCTATTTAGTTTCGTTTCTTACACTGATCTCTTAACACAAAATAGTTTATATTTTTAATGGGACCTTATTCTGTTCCTAAATCTGTGGCAAAAGTATTGTCAAATCAAGTTGGTGAGAAGCTTTAGAAATAAGATAAGATCAGTGGAGTATGGATCATAGTTTTCTTCTTTTAGCCGTATGTGAAACAATAATTTGTGGTGATTAACAAAAGCAAAGAGGATTACATGTTTTAGTTCTGATTCATTTTCTGCCTTCTATTAAATAGTTTATGCATTGGTATTTAAATAAAATTTATTTAGTAGATATCGCTTGATTCTTGAGAGACATTTGCCAACCAGTTATATTTTTCTTTTGAAGGAGAGTGAGGGAGGGAGGGAGGAGACTGTGTTAGGCCTTCCTTGTTTACTTGTTAAACTTCATCCACCCATTACGCTGCCAGAAATCATGGTTTATAGACAGCCTTTTATTTCCCAAAAAGGTCAACCTATTAGAGAAAGGAACAACTGGATGCTATTCTTCTTACGAAAGGCAAAGTGATGCTGAATTTTGTGCACAGTGTCCTAATTACTTGTTTCTGGTACACGTAGAATACGAAGTGTGAACTTCTCACATTCTGGTTTTCTGGTTCACTTGTACTCTATGCAGTACGGTTTAAAGAAGGGATTAGTCATGGATAGTTATGTTGTAAATGGAGCATGTTTTTTATTTATCTATGCATAATATGGTCTCGGTTTTTCATGGTTTATTTTGCCTTTCAGTAACTTTATCTATTATATACTTCGCTATGACATTATATTTTTGCTTTTCCACTATTACCAGAGGATATAACCAGTATCAACATAGGCCGGGCTACCTTGAGGGCGGTGGGGTGCCAAACGAGAGGCAGACATGCTTGGGCTCACGGATCTCAGCCTCAAGGTTGGTGCAAAGAATGCAGTATGATTAATGTTGCATTGCAAGAGTTAATAAGTAAGAGAGAACTGCCAGTTCCACAGCAAGATTTAAATGCGATTAATAGAGAACAACCATCTCTTGCTGTGATTCTTATCGTTATTAAAAGAAAGTTGGAGGATGAAGTCGAAACACACAACAACCTTTCATCCAAAATGTCTCATGGGCTAGTCCGTCGCTCTATTTTTGATGGAAGTCCTAACCCTCTGTTCTTATGCAATAAATTAGTTGACTCCGTACCTCTTATAACTCTAGAGTTCAGTTGCATTGAATCCTAGAATTGTGAAGCTTGGAGCAGCAAACGAGGCGATTAAACCCCAGAATTGTGAAGCTAGAGCAACAAACGAGGCAATTGAACTCCATAATTTTGAAGCTGGGGCAACAAACTCAAGAATTGTGAAGCAGAAGCAACAAATGAGGTGATTTATACACTAGAATTGTTAAGCTGGAGCAACAAATGAGACAATTGAACTATAGAATTGTGAAGCTGGGGCAACAAATGCGGCGATTGAAGCCCAAAACTGTGATGCTAGGAGAAACATCTAAAATCAACAAGGAATGTGTAAATTCAGAAATACATTTCAGCCATCTCATGCTATAACTTTTTTTGTTGTGAGAACCCAATCCAAGCACTCGCCCTTCATGCTCGTCGAGTTTGTAGTGAGAACCCTGTACAAGAACTCACCCTTCATGCTTATGAAGGAGGAGAAAAAGAGAGGGAACTTCGAATGTGAAAGAAAGTTGAATTGGAGAGAATGCCCTTGGATGAGGTATATTGGATATTTTATGTTGTAAAATTTTAATGTTAATTTGGTTTTCTGTTGTAAAAGCAGCTCGGTACGTGCAATTACACGTGCAAAAAACATTACAACTTATATTTTGGACATTTTACATATAAAAAATAGAGCTACCATTAAAAATAAAAAAGGTATATTTTTATCGTATTTCTCTCTTGTTTTAATTTTAAATTATGATTTTATTAGTTTTATTCTCAATTTCATTACATCTTTTATTAATATTTTAAGAGTTCTTTCGATTGCTCAATAGCATATTTTAAAATAATTATGTCCTACACTATATATTAAAGATAATTAGTACCCAAGTAAAGAGTTCTCGAATAATAGTATATAATTCATAAAACTTCTAAATCATTTAGACTGTAAATTGCAACGTTTAATAAATTTAAAAGTATATTATTTTTTCTTTAGTTTTAAGGTTTATAAAAATATCAAATATCTTTAATCTAAATGTGTTTGTTTGGAAAATAAAGAAGAAGAACATTACTTAGTGAGTCGGCAAAAAATATATCTTTATAATTAGATAACAACTAGTATTTAGCCCGTGCAAAGCACAATTTCTAAAAGATTTTTTGCAAATATTGAACATGTTACCAAAATAAAGTATTCTGCTTTAGATATGAAGTATAGAGGTGTTATTGCTTTTTTTATTTGTTTAGATATTCGATCAAGTTTGATTCAATATCATGACTAATAAAAATATTAAAAAAGATATTTTGTAATTTATCTTCAACCTCTGGATGCAAGTAAGAGAATAGCGTTAGTAAAAATATTTCACTTCTCCTAACATAACAGTGCGTCAAAGATCATCGGAACATACCAAGGGAAGCTGATTACAAAAGATATATCGTATCTTCAGTTCTCTAAGCTGATGTTAATGTGAAATTAAGAACAGAGAAGATTAGACCCTGTATTTCTACCCAAAAAACAGAAACAATATTTAGTTAGTAACATAATTGTACTTCTTATTTCAATATATGTAATGTAGATTGCTTTATTTTTATAGTATACAACTATGATGAATAAATTTTAAAATAAAGTTCAACCAAACCACAAAGATCAGTCACCTACAATAATACTATACAATTTTGATGAATAGATTTTTAAATAAAGTTCAAAACTTTACATGTGCCTTTGTTGCAAATATATATACTAACTAATACTCAAAATTTAAAAGGCCCAAAGTAACAAAATTAACATAGAATCAAAACATTATATACTAACCAAAAAAAAAAGATAGACTGAATTAAATAGGGAAATGGTTGTGCTCTCTCTAACCCACATGTATTACTATCGCATCAAGATTAAAGCACATTGTGGTAATTATCCTTATTCCCTCAGCTGCTTATCAAGATGATACTTCAAAGAAAGTTTCATTTATCCTTTTCACATGTTAAATTATAATTCCAAGAAGTTATTTAAATATGTTTTCAAATTCAAGCGGCTTAGTTGCACATAAATACCCTACAGTTTTACCAAATTTGTACATATATATCAAGTAGGTGAAACTATAGGGTATTTAAGTGCAACTAAGCCAATTTAATCTAGAAATTAGTTAGTTTGACCTACTATCCAAATAAAAAACAAAAGAGATGAAATCAAACATTTCAGAAGAAATCAAGAGTTGCATTGTTAATGTCCATGTAACCTTAATTAATGCCTTCACCTTGGTTGATTATTTTATCAGAAGTTAATGTACTCTCATTGGGGATAGGAAATGAATTGATTACAGATTGGGAAATGTATTTGTTAAAGGTTTCCACTAAGTTAAAAGTGAAACTTACATATAGATCATAGTTAAGTTATAAATTTTCTTGATTGGAACTCAGTGTTCCCAAATCGCTGAAATATTTCCCAATTGTAAATACTCCCCTCTAAAATAAGCAAAATAAATACACAAATTGCATAAAAAGTAGTTAGAAAAAAGAGAAAGAAAAAGTATTGGAATTGTACCTTGAATTAGGGCAAATGAGGTTTTTACATTTACATCATATAGTCGATATGAAATTAACGACCCCTGTGATGTCAAAAAACTCAAAGTTCAGATCTTTCTTGATCATATTAGAAAACAAATTTCATGTCTTGCAATCTCTCTAGTTGCCGCATCATGAGCTGTCTCATCGACTTTAACATCCAACTCACCATGATACTCATCAATTCTATGCATTACATAAACAAATATTCTCTTGCTTGGCCCAAGATTGTAAACCATGCCATTTATGTTACACTAGTAAAAAGATGGTCAGCCCCAACAGTTGGTAGGAACTGTTGGGGCAAGTTTTAAAAGCCCCAACGGTTCTACCAGTTGGGGCATTTTTGTTTTCAACGAAAAAAATTGGGGGGAATTTTTCCCTCAACTTTTTTAACCCTAAAAAACCAATCAAGCACCAAAAAGTCCCGATCTCTCTGAAAAACGCCCCGCCATGCCCAAACTCCTCTCTCTCTCTCTCTCTCTCTCTCTCCGATCCTCTCCTCCTTAGCCTGACCTCTCCTCCTCAGCCGCCGCCTCCTCTCCCGTCGAAACCCCCAAACTCTCCTCTCGATCTCTCTCTCTCTCTCTCTCTCTCTCAAACCCTGCCTCCGACCATCTCCCCAGTGTCGCCGCAGCTAGCCTGACCTCTCCGCCTCAGCCGCTGCCTCCTCTCCTGTCGAAACCCTAACCCAACTTTGCCTGCATCCTCCTCTCCCTTGAAAACCCTAACCCTAATTTGCCCGCCTCCCTTCCCCACAAATCCCTAACCCTAATTCTGCCTCCTCCTTTCTCTTACATCCCTCTCTCTCCAAAATCCCCCAAGCTCCACCTCGCCGTCACCAGTAGGAGCGCGCAGCCACCACCTCCTTCTCCTCTAGCAGTTCTTCGGCCGCTGCCTCCTCCTCCATCTCAGACATCTAAGCTCGCTGGTGAAAGTAACGTTATGATGTAATAGAGATATTTTGCATTAGATCTCTGCTTGGATAGCAATGTTTGATTCTTTGCTTGATAGATTAATTAGTTGCATAATGTGGTATAATTTATTTTCTTTTAGACCACTGGATTTGTATCATTATTCGAAAAATGTGAATGAGCGTCTTCTCTTCTCAAATTAATTCTTATTTTGTCCTTTTGCATTTACTGTTGCTTTCTTGCCCTTTTCCTTTTAGTAAAGTGTAATCTGATAAGTAGAATGTGAGTAGTGATCATAATGCTTCCTGGTAGTATAGAGATGATCTATTTAGACTCGTTGATGACTAATATTGTTCCATCAATTTAGATTTTTACAAAAAATTCAGACTATCTGTGGCGCTGATTGCTTATCTATATACAAGTTTGTAATTTCTTCTGTTTTCTTTTTGTAATCCCAAGTTAATTGAACTATAATTTTTTTACTCCACGTTACATAAGGTTGTTTGAGCCACCGGAGGTTGAAAGGTATTATTTTATACTTATTAAATATTTTGTCATTACACAATGTCAATATACTTCTCTATGTGAATGTTCTTTGGAACCAAGCAAAAAAATATACTATCATAGGTGTTAACAAAATTTTTAGAGTATATAAATGAGTATACTATCATAGTGTGAGGGGTGTATCTATAATTAACCCTTATTATTGGTGACTAACTTGGAATTTGGTGATGTTGTGTTGTAGGAGATAAAGTTCTCTTGGTTCAGAGATGTAAGAGTTTGCATGGCAAACTCTGGCTGGCCTTAATCTCCTTAGCATTCAGTTGGTTACTGTAAGCTCAGATTTTTCATTTTGCTATGGATATGTTGGTAGAAAACAACACAAAAATCGGTCCGTGTATTTTTTATATTTGACTTCATAATCAACAAAATATTGCATTTTTGGGATTTTATGTGTAGATATACATACATATGCATGTGTACGTTTGCTTGTTCATGTTGTATTTATGCATATGTATGTCTGTACGTAAGATTATATGTTGTGCATATATGTCTTGATATATGTATGTATGTCTATATGTTGTGTATGTATGTATGTGTATTGCATATTTATCATCTTTTAAGCAATGATATATGGATAATTGGTATGTAAATGTTAAGAGGAGGTATTCTGGCCATTTTAATGTTAAACTTTTATTACAAACCCCTTGGAGGTGTTTCCTTCCTCATTTATTCAAATTAATATTGTTTTACTCCAATACTTATCTCAAAGTTTATTGCACCGTGCAGGGATTACCATTTGTTAGCAACATATCCTACAGAAGAAACTTTTCAGGCATTATCTTGTTAGTCTTGGGAATTAGAAGATACAACACTATATGGATCTCATAGAGTATTCTTTCTAACTCCTGAAGGAACACTGAGGCCTATAGCCATTGAACTTACGAGGCCAAAACCCCCGACAAAGCCTCAGTGTAAGCGCATTTTTACGCACTCATGGGATGCTACTGGGACTTGGTTGTGGAGGCATGCTAAGACTCATGTTTGTGCTCATGATGCTGGGTTTCACCAACTTATAGTCACTGGTAATTCTGGTTATGCCTTTTCTTGTTTTGTCTCGTGAAACTTGACTGTTCAAAGTTTGCGTGAAGCTAAATATGCTGCGATCAGATTAAATAAAAAAAGGTGACCTCTCGTTGTTCGATTTTTTTCAAACTGCAAGTTATATTCTGGATGTTTTTTGGTGATAAATCTGCTGATATTTGATAGGCTGACTTGCTATTTGATAGACTGCATGTTTAAAAATTGTTTGAGGCTAATATATATTTTCTGTTGTATGTTTTCAGGCTGCATCACCTTGCATAGACCATGTACCCCTCACGTACCCGAGTAATTTGAAATATTCAAGATATATTTTTTATTCAGAAAATGAAGTTCTCAAATTTGGTACCATTTGGAATACTACATAAGTGCAAACGAACATCCTTTGATGTCAAAGAGCATCTGCTACTATATTCACATGAAATTTGACTATTCCTCAACTTACAGTGCTCTAGATAATTCCTTTTAATTGATGCAGTGCAAATATATATGCCAGGATACTACCCAAATTTGGTACACAGGTGAT